ACATGAAGGAAAGAATGCGTCTAATTAAGTGATATGAAGGAAAGAATACGTCTTATTAAATGAAGTGAGGGAAAGAAAGCGCCTTATTAAAGACAGAATAAATATACTGAATGCCATAAAATAGAATGTGCATGAAAGAGAGAACTGGACAATATTTACAGGAAAACAACTTTGGAATTTGTTGGTTCTGAATGTATTTGTGGTGCAAAAATATTTTTCTGGGGATAGAGCAACTTCATAAATATTTGAATTTATAAAACAAAGTGACCGTAATATACTCTCTGATGAATAGATCTGCCTAATTTGATTAAACCTTACATGATAACTCGGAATGTTAGGCCCATATAACAGTGATTTTTTTTAAACTATACTTTCAGTTATTTCATTGAGACCTAAGATCAACAGAGAGAGAGAGAGAGAGAGAGAGAGAGAGAGAGAGAGAGAGAGAGAGAGAGAGAGAGAGAGAGAGAGAGAGAGAGAGAGAGAGAGAGAGAGAGAGAGAGAGAGAGAGAGAGAGAGAGAGAGAGAGAATTCCGTGAGTTAATCAACACAAATTTACAGAAGACTTCAGATATTTCTTGAAATCCATGATCTCACAATCTTACTATAATACTGAAATGTATTCAAGCAAAAGAAATGGAACCAGTGTCGCTATCAACAGCATTTATCGCCTAACTCATTTACCATGGTCCTAGCTCACTCAGATAGGAACTCATCCTCTTATAAGGGAACAATGTCTCCCAATGTTGTTATTGCTTGATCGGCAAGCCATATTCATTTTGTCTGTATGTTCAGCAGCTATCGAGAGCCGAGATGATCTTTAATTCCCGGATAGAGTTTTCTTGCGTAACTGAGTATAATAATAACAATAGCAACAACAGCATCAGCAGCAACAACTTTCAATAATAATAATAATAATAATAATAATAATAATAATAATAATAATAATAATAATAATAATAATAATAATAATAATGATAATAAAAATGATAATAATAATGATAATAATAAAAGTAGTAGTAGTAATAATAATAATAATAACAATAATAATAATATTAATAATAATGGTAATAATAATATTGGTATTAATAATAATAATAATAATAATAATAATAATAATAATAATAATAATAATAATATAAATAATAATAATAATAATAATAATAATAATAATAATAATAATAATAATAATAATAATAATAATAATAATAATAATAATAATAATAATAATGATACTAATAATAATAATAATAATAATAATAATAATAATAATAATAATAATAATAATAATAAAAATAATAATAATAATAATAATAATAATAATAATAATAATAATAATAATAATAATAATAATAATAATAATAATAATAATAATAAGTAATAATTATGAGGTGTACTTGGCACGGAGCCTAATCATTAGAAGTTCGAGGCACTGTACTATATTAGATACCACAAAAAAAAACATATACGACGACAAGATTTCAAAAACAAATTCCATGAAATTACAAAAATAGCAAAGAGGCTGACAATAATTACATATTAAAGCTATTTAGATTTTTAGACCATTTCTTGTAGTCGAAATATGTGAGTTTTAAGACCACTCTTGAATAAAATCGCAGTATCCTTGTATGCAAGACCTATGGACAATACGTTCCACGTAGCTGTCCCTGGGACGCAAAATAACCTTGTCCGTATGACTTCGTTTTAATAGTGGGGACGATGAGAATACGAGTTAACGTAAGTTTCTATATGGGAACACATTGGATTTTAGATTATTCCCGATAAGATCTCTAGCAGAAGATCTTCGGCCCAAGATGGGCAACTTGGCTGTTTCTTCTATACGCGACCACCAAGACTGGCCACTTTGAACAAGGCACATTGAAGTAAAATCAACATACAAATGACATATAACCATTTGCTTTCTTTTTATGTTTGCATGTTTTGCAACAGTTCCTCGAGATTCAATGAATGTATTTAAACTTCTAAACACCGTATAAAACCAACAGTAAATCATCCGGCATACTAAAGATTGGCTGGTGATGACGTCATTTTTAATCTATCTACTGGACTGGAGCCAGTCAACAATATATGCTATAGTGAACAGAGTTTGTGTTTGAATCTGGATCGAACCGGTAGCTAGTGAAGGTTACAGAGTAGGGTGTTGTGTGCTTCGTTTTTCGATATAAAGGTTTTCAGATATTTAAATTACAATCAAACAAAACTTTTCCTTATCATTTCTGTTATTTTCCCTTGCGACAAAAATGTCAATATTTGTGAGAAAGCATAGTACGTAATATCATATACAATTTCGCTTTGACTAAAAATAAATTAAACTTTTAGTGAAATCCTGGTCCGACCAACATTGAACCTACACTAGTCAAGCACACAGATTATGAGATTTCGGTAAAAATTGGAAGATTATCAGTTACATGTTAGTAAAATTTGCTTGATTATTTGATATCATGGTTATTTGATATCATGGTTATTGGATATGATATATTCATATTTACCGTATCTAATGTTTCCTTATGTTTTTTAAAACCTTAAAAAAATAATATTCTTGAAATTATATAAACCTAAAAATGTTCTTTAACGTACGGTTCCGTTTTCGATTTTAGAAATTAGAGCAAAGCTGATCCATCTGGTTTTGAAATGGAACAAACAACACTTCTTCAACTTTCATCACCAATTTCTTTTTTAGGTCATACTCATGCAAGAAATTTCAGTGTTAGCATTTTGATATATATATATATATATATATATATATATATATATATATATATATATATATATATATATATATATATATATATATATATATATATATATATATATATATAGTTCTTCAAATAAAATTATGCTTCTCAGATTAGAATCAAGCATGAATGAAAATTTTTAATTGCAACTATATCTCGTAAAACAACTTCGCTCCTACCTCTTACAGGCAAAACAAAGCGAAGTCTTCGGTAAAACTTTTGGATAGCTTTTTATAGCCTCAGAAATAAGCGGCTTTCTGGAACACGTGATTACTTTTCCTAAAATTAGGAGACTGAGGTGGAGTTCTATGTCGTAATCTTGTTCGATATTCATATATATAGTTCCATCATTACTGTAAAGCACTAGCATTTGGATTCAACTTTTAATTAATATGGTTAAAACATTAATTACAAAATGTATTGTTTGCACAAAATGTTAACAAAAACAAATATTACGGTGTTGTTATAGTAAACAAGGCTATTGCCGTCATCAACTATTATCAAAGCGGATCTTTGTACATTTTTGGCGTCGTTATACGCACAACTTTTAAAGCGGAATTTTGGGTAGGAAAATAAATGGATGTACTATTTGGTCAAGGATAGATGTAAATATAATAATTGTGTACTATTCGGTCAACGATAGATGTGAGTACAATATTTGTACATGATAATATTTGGTTAACGATAGATGTGAGTAGAATATTTATGTACTATTTGGTTAACGATAGATGTGAGTAGAATATTTGTACATTATACTATTTTGTCAACGATGTAGGTGAGTAGGATATTTATACAAGATACTATTTGGTGAGCAATGGATGTGAGTAGAAAATGTATGTACTATTCGGTCAACGATAGATGTGAGTAGAATATTTGTACCGGATACTATTTGGTTAACGATAGATGTGAGTATAATATTTGTACAGGATACTATTTTGTCGATGATGGATGTGAGTAGAATATTTGTGTACTATTCGGTCAACGATAGATGTGAGTATAATATTTGTACAGGATTCTATTTGGACAACGATGGATGTGAGTAGAATATTTGTGTATTAGTTGGTCAACGGTAACTGTGAGTATAATATTTGTACAGGATACTATAGATGCAAGTAGAATATTTTATACAGGATACTCTTTGGACAATGATGGATGTGAGTAGAATATTTATATATGACATATTAAACAAATTAAGTTTAAGTGACTAAAAGTATTGTTGTAAAGATTGTAAATTAGAAGAAATTCAGAACACCAGAAAATTGTTGGGATGATTAACTCAGTAAAACATACTTGTGCGCTTTTGTATCATTCCAAGTAAAATAATTTATAGAAACTAAATTTATTTTATTTTTTATTTATTTATTTATTTATTTATTTATTTATTTATTTATCTACTAAGTTTTGCGCTGTTGATGATCTAACATCTCCTTGATCCACACCTCAGTGCATCTCAGTTGCGAGTCTTTAGACAACAATAAAAATGAAAATCGTTTTCAATTTATAAAATTCTCACGACTTTCTGTAAATGAAAATTACCTTAAGCACAAAAGACGAATTAGAATAAAAAGAAGTATGCCAATTTTTTTGTCAGATATGTTTCAGGTGCTTGCGATCTGTTTCTGATATCGGGCTGCCAACACTGAATATCGCGTATAGCTAACAAAACTTGAGGCTAATGATTTCATGGTAGAATTCACACAATGACCATTTCGTTCTAAAACGTGATGACAGGCTATCATAAGAGTAACTACTAGCGGCACCTCAGAATTCGATCACTGACAAATCATGGCTGTAGTTTACCCTTGGGGTGTCAATACGTCAGCCAACTTTGTGAGGAAGGCTTCCTCAGGTATCAACTAGCCGAGCGCTCATGCGCTGGAAAATTGCGTTAATCCCACAATCACGTTTTTATTTTATTTTGTTTGTCTTCATTTGAAATATAGCTGATATGCATAGTGATACGACTCAATGGTCTTAAACTAAGTAACAGAGAGGAGAGAGAGAGAGAGAGAGAGAGAGAGAGAGAGAGAGAGAGAGAGAGAGAGAGAGAGAGAGAGAGAGAGAGAGAGAGATTTTGTCAGTCATATCACTACGATGAGTGCAGTGTCACAATTTATACTGATGTCTCTATCATTGGGACCTCATGCCGCAGACATGTGGTATGATGTCCCACCCAGTCACATTATCCTGACACTAACCTCTTGAAGCTGTGCGCCAAGAGCACCATTATTTTAGTCTATGGTATGGCTCAGCCGGGAATGGAACCCGCGACCTCTCTCATCCAAGGCAGACGCTCTAACCATTAGGCTACCGGAGCGGTTCAGAAAAGAGAGAAACTAAAAGATTTTGCAAAATACAAGAAATAATTTATTATTGATGAGCATTTTTTGTTTCTAATGAATAAAAATTTGACTAAACAAATCCAGCCAAATGAAAAACTGAACACAACAATAAAACGTATTCTACTTAAAGATGACAAGGCCACAAGATAAACAAATAATCAGTCTACTTGACATGGATCGTAATTACCATTTTCTCAAAATACTCTGCAACTTAGTGGAATTTTCCATCCTAAAAGAGTCTGAAGTCCTGTACTTTAATTCAAATGAAAGAAACCTTGTTTACATTAATAATGATCTGTCTATTTAATCGTCAAACACAGAAAGCTATTAGCTATGTATTATGTTTTTCTTTTACAAAGATAAATGTCCTTGGTGAGGTACACAAGGAACTGGATTTTGGACAAGGTTAAGTACAAAATACAAATGTGTATAACATGCAATAATTAAGAAAAACGAACAAATCATACAAATTATATATACACAACAGATAAAAAACAAACAAATTATATAAATCTGTTTACTAAAGCAAACCGCAAGGAACATGAATGGAGCAAATATACTTTTATTTTTTTTTATTAAAATGTATGCACTGATACAATTAGAGAAAGAAATGTTATCGATCTGTGACTTAAAATAAAAATAGTTTGATCAGGTCATGTTGTAGATCAAAGCAGCTTGATGGGCAATTTTATATGTCAATGTGACGTCTGGTGTTTGGAAAATGAGATGCAAACTATTTGTCCACAAGCAAAATAATGAAGCAGAAATGTATACACACTGATGAGACAATAACCGTCTATTTTCTAGTTTGTTGCCTTCACAAAGCTATCGTGCTGATTTTACCTGTCAAGATCTCTCCTATTATGTTGCCACCAACTCTGTTGCCCATCAATCGGACCTTAATTTGTCGCAGATGAAGCAAATTCATGTCTATAGGGATTTGGGATCCAGAGTATTACCGTATACGACCGCGTATAAAATCCGACCTTGGAATCTGCTGATTAAAGCGATACAGTGATATCATGTGTGATAAACTTTACTTTATCCTTGATTATAGCCATACAGTGATATCATGTGTGATAAACTTTACTTTATCCTTGATTATAGCCATACAGTGATATCATGTGTTATAAACTTTACTTTATCCTTGATTATAGCCATACAGTGATATCATGTGTTATAAACTTTACGTTATCCTTGATTATATCCATACAGTGATATCATGTGTGGTAAACTTTACTTTGCCCTTGTTTGTAGCCATACAGTGATATCACGTGTGATTCACTTTGTGTTTCCGTTGATTGTTGCCATACAGTGATATCACCTATGATAGATTCTGTGTTTCCGCTGATTGTAGCCATACAGTGATATCACCTATGATAGACTTTATTTTGCTATCTATTGTAGCCATAGAGTGATATCACGTGTGATACACTTTATGTTGGCTTTGATCGTAGTCATACAGTAATATCACCTATGATAGACTTTATTTTGCTATCGATTGTAGCCATAGCGATATCACGTGTGATACACTTTATGTTGGCTTTGATCGTAGTCATACAGTGATATCACCTATGATATACTTTATTTTGTCTTCGATTTGTATGCAAGACCTGAGAGTAAGACTGAAATGTTCTTTATACGAATTAAGTTTCTCTTTATTTTGTGGTTGTTTCTTTTGTTGAATAAAACGGTACTTTTTATGTATTGTAATATTAACACTGTACTACGTTGCTCTCTACTAAATGAGATTATTATCTATTTGACTACATCTGAAAGAAATAATTGTGAACAATATTTGTAAACAATATGTAAGTTCTGATTTTAAAGTAGATTGAAGCAACCATAGAAAGGATAAAGCACCCTTTGATATTTTCTAAGCAGATTTATAATTTCTGGTGTACCTATGCCTTGAATACATATATTGCCCAGGAAAATGTTTTCAAACGATGTTAACATAGCTAATTAGTTGCTTTATTATATAAAGACTGCAATAGTCTCCTTGATTACTTTGACTTGATTTCAACCCATCACGATTGCTTTAAAATCTGTATGGCTTCAAAATACCTATTAAATCACCCAAGTTCAAAATTATGTGCACAGTCCAGTGATAACAGTGACACAAATTTAACATTTTCATGTATGGTTGGATTTTTATTTCTCTTACAAATGAGGAATGCTCAGTGCTCATGGAGAAAATGTTGCATGTCTGTCAGGAAGTCAAACAGGATCTTTATGCTTACCTCTACATATTCATGAAGAGTATTTTTTTCTTCAGAACTATTTGGAATGGTCAGTGTAGTCAATTATATATATATATATATATATATATATATATATATATATATATATATATATATATATATATATATATATATATATATATATATATATACACATATACATATACATATACATATACATATACATATATAGCTGTGTGTATGTGTGTGTGCGCTTATACCACATACATTACAAATAGCATGGCATTTAAAGTGTTAGTTTACTGCAATTTGATATACCACTATTATTGCTGTATCAAATTGTGATCCGCACATGGCACATTAATACGTATATATAAACATTTTCGCAACTGTCTGCTATCGATTGAATGATGAATTTCTACATAATAATCATGAGCGACATATGAAAATATCGATAAAAAGTCTTAATAATCCTTCTAAATGAATTAAATATAGTACACAATTTCATCGCAATCCTTTCTGCTTTATGCCCCCGCCCTTCCATTCTCATGCAGAACGGAAAAAAACAACACATGAATCTGGAGAAAGAAGAAGAATTTGTGGTGGATGAAAACTTCAAATTGAACATATACCAAGTAAATTACAATAATATGGTATATTGTAACGTTGTGAGTTCATTTTCCTTGGGATTTATCTAGAGTGTTTATGCAATTAATTATACAAAAGTTGTAATAGACTGTCAACATTATATCGTCATTTCGCTTAGTTTCTCTTCCAGACTAACTTCCATGTGCCGATACATGAAAGGCTGAGCGTTCTGGTGAATGGCGTAGCTAACCAAGTGTTTTGCTCTACTTTCTTTATTAAAACCATCTTTCATGTTTAAATCATAATTGTGTTATATGTTGATTTAATCAATGTGAATAAAAATAGAAACTCAAAAAGGAAAACAATCAACTTATCAATATGCAAAAGGTGGCTGTAAATAGCAACAAAAGACATAGAATACATTTTCTAGCTAACAAAAACAGAAGGGAAGTGAGAAGTTCATTCAAACAGTTGTCTGTAGTCAGTCTTACACTCTGATCAAAGGGTAAATATATCTTTTTGAAACTATTTTATTGTTTCAGAACAGGAGGTAGCTTGTCATCTTGTGTATGGGTGTCTAAAATTGTTTTGACGTCTGCTGTTGATCGATTTATTGATTTTTTTCTCTTTTCCAATGGTTTTGGTGCTTAATTATTAATTCTTTTATTCAAAATATAAAATGTTTTTGGTTTCAACTGATATTCGATTTTCCAAAAGTACTACAAGACCTTGTTTATTTGGTAGAGATTCATCTTGACATGGCCAAATGTTTTGAATAGTTTAATCAACTTCTGCAACAATTTTAGTTTTTTTAACGGTTTTCAGAATGCTAACAAATCTAATTATACACATTTCCTATAACTGACAATTTCAACCAGCATTTTTGCAACACTCTTATTAAATACGGATGGATGGTATTGCTCTTATTCCACACAAATAGTAGATAATGGATCGATCAAAAAGTAGAACAGTTCTGAGTTCTTTTCATTGATCAACAATCCATGTTGTTATGTTAAGACTTCAGATACATAATCGAATCTTGTCCTCAAAGAGAGAGAGAGAGAGAGAGAGAGAGAGAGAGAGAGAGAGAGAGAGAGAGAGAGAGAGAGAGAGAGAGAGAGAGAGAGAGAGAGAGAGAGAGAGACAGACAGACAGACAGACAGACAGACCGCCATCACATCATTGTTTAGAAAAAAATTCGAAACATGTGACAAGAGTATGTAGTACAAGAGAATAGTGAAGCGCAATCGATCGCGAAAACAAAACGAAAGGAAAAGCAAATGTATTGGGATGATTCGGTCTACAGAATCGTTCAATATCTATTTATTCAGCCCTCAATGGAACAGAAATGAAGCAGAAATCCACTATAGTTTAAAGAAAGCTCTTTTTAACAAGCTGTTTCACCACAGTGCTAAAACTTATATTTGTAATTAATATGTTAATTATTTCATTTCTATACCTCAGCGGTGTCCGTAACAGCTGCTTATTATTACTTCATTCAAGTTTTGAAAAGACTTTCCTCTCAATAAGTATTTTCTAAGGGAATGTTGTCAAACAGGCACCAAATTTCCATCAATATCACGTGTCCTTTACTACGGTATTATATAAATTACGTGTAAAGCATGCATGGAAATTACAGATATATATATATATATATATATATATATATATATATATATATATATATATATATATATATATATATATATATATATATATATAATGTTTTTGTTCATATTTCTGTCCTATTGTGAGTTGCTAATGCTTTATTATGAAATGGTGAATGACACTTTTAATTAAAGTAACTTTTGTATATGAAACAGATGGCAATTTTGTATATAACACATAGCCATGCTTGATTTACAATACTTTTGTTAGAAGCAGCGTAAAACATTACACATTATTCCTTTGTTGAAAAGTTAATATCGTTCATACGTAAAATATATTTTAGATAGGCTTACTTTTCTATATTGAGTATTGATTTGTTTCCATAAATATATAAAACAAACTTTCGCACCCATAAACAAATCGAACCTTGACAACAGCGTTAGATTATATATCTTTTAAAGCTATCACCAGAACATCCTGTCACCATCGGCAATGGCTTCCACAATGTTTATTTATTAATAACAGTAGATTATGTTGAGTTGTTTCCTAGTGTTTGTGACTCATTAGCCATCATG